TCATGTACGTTCAAACAATTTTGAGTTAATTCTGGTAGAAAGGACGCTTACTCAGGTATAATCTGGGTTTTTTTTTTATTAAAATAAACAAATACTTACCTAAATAATTATAGCACATTCTTAAGGTATACGCATTTTAAGTATGCTGTCTGTCCTTTCGTTTTATTTATTATTATTTTATTTTGTTTGTAGGTGTTAGTTGCATATACTTATTTTAAATAGAATAAAACCACTTACAATAGGTAAAGTCGAAAGAAAACTGGTATCTCTCATCAATCCAAAACATAATATTGCATTTAAACGAAACGAGAACACCATGAATAAAAGTAGTACAAAACGCATAGTTTTTCTATATTTTCCCCAAACTAAAATCACCATGTCACTGCAAAATAACCTTATATTTCTAAACAATAGAACGTTGATCAATGAATTTAATTTTTGTTCTGTGATGGTAAATATAATATTTCTTGTACAATACTGTACAAACTATGAATACAATGCCTATCTCATATTGTTATTAAAAAACTAAAATGTTATCAGAATAATTAATTATGTAGGTTATTGTATGTTTTGTATTTACCATGCAATTATTAATTACATCATGAATTTTTTGTACTACATTCAAAACTACCAATTATTTTAACCAAGGTTCTGTAATTTTTATAATGTATACATATTAGTTATACTAGTAGTTAACGATTGCAAACTACGAATTTCAATCCGTATTCAGCTAGGCTACGTTACAGGTTAGTTAAGGTCAGGATTGGGTATTTGTGAAACTTGCATATTTTTAGACTAAAATTAAAATTTGTTTCGTATGAAATAGATAAGCCACAAAATCAAATTTTTTTAGATTTTTTTTTACTGATTTTTGACTTATTGAACGATATTTTATTTACATGTTTATCAGGTTTTTAAAATTAAAATAGATTATATTTTACAAATTAACCATTCAGTAAACGATCTTCATGTAGGAAGCGATCAGAATACCCCCACATTACCTCTATCAATCGTAGAAAGTGACAAATTAGTTTACGGTAGGTCAACAGCCGATGTGAAATTCTGTCAAACAGTATGAGAATTTTAAACGAGACCTTTAGTTGCTCTTCCCATCCTGGATGTGCACGGGGACAACGGATGACATGAGATACTATGGTGACTGATGTTTGCATATGATAAAAATTGGATAAGGATAAATCTGGAATAAGTTAACAAGTAGCACTTGAAGTAAATGATTTAAGGATAAGTAGAAGTAAAATAGTGTATATAAAGAGTAAAAGTTTGGAGAAACAGGATAAGGCAGCTAACGGAAATAAGAGGTGACGTAATAAATGAGGTTGTATTTTGAGTACGTAGGATATTTTATATAAAAGAATAGTAGGTTTGACGAGGATGTGAAACATAAGATCAAGGGTGGTTTGATAAAAAGAATAAAAATGTTCGGTGTTTTATGTAATAAAAGAATTTCAATAAGAAGTTTTATATAGTTATAATGAGATTATCTTTGTTTGATCCGAAGTTTTGAGTGATAGACAAAAAATATAATAGAGAATAAGTGTAGCAGAGATGAGAAAGTTTAGATAAATAAGTCATAAGTGGAGTGACGAGATAATATAGGATAAACAAAAAGTACATTAAAAGTAATTTAGACATAACTTTGATATTAGACAACACGAGAGAAAATAAACTGTGATGGTTTGGGTATGTCATGAGGGGAGATGAATCTGAAGCAGCAATAATTGTGATGAAAATAAACGTAGAAGGAAAGAGGGGGCATGATGACCGAAAAAGAAGTTATAGAATGTGATTGAAAATGATACGAGGATAGCTAGTGTATGCGAGATGGGAGATCTTTTCAAGTGAACGTTTAGGACGAAGGTGACTAACCTTAAAATAGATATAGGCCTATAGGTCTATGGTTATATTAAAGGTATTGTGTGATGTATGAAAAATAGTAACAATCACTTACGATCGATAAAGTCGAAAGAAGACTGACATCTATGAATGGTCCATGACGACAAAATAGTGGTAGTATTGCATTAAAAAAAAAAAAAAAAAATAAAAACATACAATTAGTAAAATATTAATCGTTATTACTCGTTATTGATAAGTCTATAAACAAAATTGTCTGTAGTCAAATTATATATAAAAACAAAAAATCATTCGCAGTTATTGCATTTTAATTATATTATTATTATCATTATTATTAAGCGTTTATTTCAAAGAATAATGGGCCTCACCGAGCATGCGCGTGTGGGGGTCCAACCTAAGGTTTATTACGATAAATACAAATATAATAATTTCTCGCAAAATGTGTTCGAAAAATTAATAGGTAAGTACCTACAAATTTTCGGCGACATCGAAATGTATGTTTAGAATACTCGTAATTGTGTTGGCTATTGTTGTATAAATATAACACAGAGTTAATACATATTATGGTGCTTACTCTACATTCTGAACAATGAATTATTTATTTATTTTTCAAGATTATATAATTAATGTTATAACCGTATATTAATTTTGTTCAATGAGACACTGGCAACACTCAAATTATTATACCGGCACAGAATTAACTTTTTTGCAAAAATGCCTTTTTGATACATTCTGCAGAAGTGAAGTAACCAATTATTCAAACCATTGTGAACATGGAAAATTGTTTTGCTCATACAGTTTTGGTTAAAAAATTATGAACATTACATTATGATACTGACATATAATAAAATCGAATTTGTAATAAAATTAGCGGGGTGATGTTGACGTAGAAATATTGCACGGATTCCTTGTTATGTTGCCTTCGATGTCCATTAGCATGTTATCTAAAAACAAATTTGATCTATAGTTAGTATATTAGTCTTCTTGGCAATTGGAAAAGAAAAAATAAGAAATTATTTTGGTGTTTCATTTTTGTTGATTTCTGATTTATATCAATAAACTATAAAGAAACAAACATGTTTAATACTACTCCGCTCAGAAACGTTTTTCATATATTTTTCAATGATGATTTATCGTTGCATACAGTATATAAACTTTTTTTTTTTTTTATATATAATGTTTTTACATTATTTAAATGTATAGTTTAATAATAACAAAATTAAATATAACATTCAGTATAAAATTATTATATTGAAATATTAATGTATTTTAAATAATTTTATTCCCGAATGCGTTAATAAATAATATTGAGGAGGTAGGCGACGGTAAATATTTCAGTCGATTTAGACCTTACCTTATTTGGGTAGCACTATAAGCTCAGATGGGAAATAAAAAAAGAAAATTATAAAGCGAATATGCCAAGCTAAAGTGGCATTTAACAAGAAAAGGAGTCTTTCTACTCCGAAATACCTAGATCTTAACGTTAGAAAGAATTTATTCAAAACGTACGTCTAGAGCGTTATGTTACATGAATGCGAAATATGGACTATGGCAAGAGAAGAAATGAGTAGAATAGAGGCATTCGAAATGTGATTCTATAGAAGGACGGGAAAGATTAGTTGGACTGATATCATTAAAAAAAAAAGAAGTTTTAGAAAGACTATTTGAGAGGAAATCAATATGGAAGTGTATACAGAAAAGGTGAAATGAATTAATAGATCATATCTTAAGACACGATGGGTTGCTACTACTAATCTTAGAAGAAATAATCGATGAAAAAAATCATAGAGAAAAACCATTATTGCAATACATAAATTAAATAATAGAAGGTCAAGGATGTAATTCATATCAAGATTTGAAGAGGAAGGCTAGCAATAGAGAAACATGGAATTTGCTCAAAACAAATAATTAGATTGAATACTGCAGAAAAAAAAAACCTCAATGACAAAACTGTAGGAATTGTGTTTGACGTCATTTCAATTTTAAAAACGGATTATACATTTTTAGGTTCTTTAATATCCTTTGTTGGAATAAAAGTCGAATGGTTTTATTTCGAAAAGTAAATAATTTAATTGTATTTTGAAAAATACAATCAAAAATATATTTAAAGTATTTTGCCTTTTCATTATAATAAATATTACTAAAACTAAAAAAATGTTGTATTCTAGTAAAAACTTTAAAATCTATAACACGTTTCCAAATTTAAATCTATCAAACGCAATTCTTACAGATTTGTTTTGGTTTTTGGTCTAAAATGTTTTATGCGTTCATATAAACGACTATAACCATTTTCTTTAAATAGTTATTGGATAGTAGATAAATATATAAATTTTGGTCATTCAAATTTTACAAATTTGGAGAATATTTGGAAACCATACCTATTTATAAAATGTTAACTATAATATTAAATAGCTCAATCAGTATTAAATTTTGTTATAGATTCTCTTTTTAAAGTGCATAGGCTAATTCAAGGGCGTCCACAAGGGTTGCCGGTAGGGCCATGCCCCCTGCATTTTTAAGTTTATATTAAACATCAATTGTTTTATTACTTGCATAGCTTGAATATTTAGGAATATTCATGATTACTTGTAAGTTGTAAGTTGTTAAAAAAATATTATAATTTTGAATAAAGAATATTAGTTTAATGTGAATCAAATACTACAATATTGTTCGGTAATATGATTTTATAAAACATGTTGTTATAAAATCAAACCAATAAACATCGTATATACTAACAAACAAAAATTTATTTTTAAACATACCTACTCAAAACTTTAGGTATACAAATTTAACGACTCATTTAGTAAACTAAGTTGTCGAAAAATAATAATAAACATTTTGAATAAAATACGTGTTTAATTAATTAGATACATGACAAAATTTCTGAAACTGAAATGGTCAAGTGTTTATGTTAGGAGTAAATTTTTTTTTAAATTTTTGTAGTTGTACATTATTGTGTAATATTATGGTACGATTATGTTTTACATAAATATTTTATATTATACTAGGTGGATTCATAATTATGAACTCGATTTATGCTACGGTGAAATACTTAACAAGCTAAAAAAAAAAAAAAAAATGTGTGATTAAGTATTACAATATACCTCATTATAATAATACAGGTTTAAATAAATAACCAAAATAACCGATATAAAAAAATATTTCAAGCTTTGAAAATATCGGAGATGAATTGATTACAACCGAGTATTTGATTTTTACGTGAATAGGTTATGTCAATTTTGTACACTCCATAAATAAATGTTTTGGGAATATTCATTTTGTGGATCATTGATGTATTTAAAATATCCGTGGCCATATAAAAACCCTGAAAATAAAACAACACTATTTTAAAAGATTGTAGTTATTGTAGTTGATCAATGTTATGTAGTCAATATATTTAGGCAGGTGTTATTTATTGCCAAAATTTCTCGTTTCGAAGGAACTAATTTAGAGTGTACGCTGACTTTAGATTAGTTGGATACCATCGTTCCATATATCAGATGGTTACAAAAGTTAATGGTTTCGTTTTCAGTCAACAATGGAAAATAAATTTAGAAAGATAATGGCTGAAGTAGCTACAAAGAAACCAGAGCAAAATAATTATGATAAAAAGTGTAAACAAATTAAATTTAATGGGAAAATCTGTGAATGCTAATTAAGGTAATGATAAGATTTTTTTTGGTAATAATATATTTTTATTACGACTAAAATTATTATGACCTTACATACTTTGGTATAATACATCAAAAGACATATTGTGTACATCGAATGTTTGCTTTGATTTAGATTGTTCAAAATTATATAACCATACCTTTTTTTTGGGACAACCGAGGTCAAATATGCCCATTCCATTCATGAATTTGGAATACTGATTTCCCATAAGAACCTTGAATGACGAGCAAGCATTTTGAAATTTGTGTGTTAAAAAGTTTTCCTTCCATTTTCCATTAGTGTCATTAAAAGCTAAATTAAATCCAACCTGTACGAAACATGCGAAAATCGTAAATCGTTTTTAAAATAATAATACAATTTGTGGGTGATATTTTGCTCATTTTAACGCTTTGGTAAGAAACATAAGTAATATGAATTTAAATTATTCAATATAAATTAAAATCTATTAAAACAGAACATTGGTCTCATTATGCTCATAATTTAACTGCAAAACAATAAAATACAATGTACTTATACAAATTATACAAATACAAAATATTTTCATCGATGTGATTTGTATAAGTAGTAAATTATCACGTAACGCGTTTTATAATTATGTTACCAGAAATATTGACAATTTAGAAACTAACGATAATTCCTAATAATTTATTATTTTTATTGTGTTCATGCTGCATAAATGCTTTTTGTAATCCTTTTTTTCTCTATTGATTATTTACCTATATATAGTCACGTCTGTTGCATTTAACACCTAAGTTTTTAGATGTTTATGAAATTAAGTTTAGAGAACATGCTATGTTATTCCATTTATTCACTTTCACATTTGAAGTTTATGGTTCCTGTATTGTGTACTCGTGCTTATGCAGATTTTTCGTTGTTTGATTATTTCTATTAAGTGTATTCCAGGTGTTCCATTTGATTTGGTATCTGATTGGAAGTTTTTTCACGGATCTTATTCTATAGTTGTTCGTTAGATTCAATCCTATCCATCTTCGATGGCATCATGCTCAAGTGATGTAAGCTCAGTTGATTGAAAAGAAACAATTTTTCTAAATTTCTTTTATACTATACGCGGGTGTATATCGATTCCGCCGAAAGAACCTTTTTTATTTATAAGAAATATATCGATTGCGTTGGCTAACAACTCCACCAAACTTTTTTTATGTTGATTCCACCGACTGTTTATAAAATAATAATCGATGTATACGATATCGATGTAACGATCAAATACGATATAACCTTGATCCATAATTTAATTATATTTACCCAAGTCTTCGAGACCTCGTTAATATAAACAAAACTCTGGTACGCTGCAACACCCCGCCGTATAGACTGAGAGACAGGACGTTACACCGAGCAGTAAATTTGTACCATCTACAATTATTTTGCCGTTTGACCAAAGAAATTTAAAATTTGAAGTTGTAGAATAGTATAAAATATAATTTACTGAATCAAAGCCGAGTAGAAAATTTTAATTTTCTAATGTTTTATTATTTCGATGATTTCGGAAATATTTTTGTGGACCTTGGGTATAAAAATCAACAAAACCGGTAATTTTTACGGGTATTGATGTGTATTGTATAATATATCGGCAATCGTAAAACAATATGAATTGTTATTTTGTCGTTAATTAACTGAAAATTATGCAGTTGTAATGCATAATAATATATGAAAACCGTTTATTAAAATATTAGAAAATAATTTAAATGGAATAATTGTAAATGTAATGCTGTTATATTATGATTATAATAGGTAATTATGGATTATTATCAATTATTTTTTTATACATTTTATTGTTCTTATATATTCTTATATTTATTAATCTTAGGTTTATGTTACTTATATTAAATGCATTATATACAAACATAAAATATTCAACAGACGTTTGGCGAATTCGATAATCCGCGGAATCAACATATTATTATAACAAACGACCGATATAATCGGTGATTGATGGAATTGATATTAAAACGGCGGTATCGATAAAACCCCTTAGATGCAACGATAAGCAAGTTAATAAATAATATTAGCTCAATTAACTTGAGTTCATAAAAAAAGTTAACGATTAGACACGCGTTTAAAGTTAATTGTATGAATTAACTATTAAATTAAGTTAAATGTAGTACACATTTGAGTTAAGTAAGTGTTTTTTAAATTGTTATTGTTATTGATACAATGGTTCATTCTAGAATTTTTTTTTTTTAAATAAGTATGATCAATATTAAACATGTAGGGATATTTATGAGAAAAACCAATTGTACCGATAAATTTAAAATTCTGAACTCCACACACTTTAGTAAAAAAAAAAAATTATAATTAATACGATGGTACAGGCAGTGTATTTTAAATTTTATTACATAGTAAATTTAAAAACAATTTGAACTACGTGATGTAATTCAAATTAATTCGTTGTTTAATAAGTTAATGTAAAATAAAAAAAAAAATGTCGTTAAACATAAAAATTACCTAAACTATACATTTATTTACTCGTTAATGTCCATTGCCCAATCTTGATGCATACACTATTCTTTGTTGAAAATATAGGTATGGTCATGTATCTCAGTAAACATTATATCAATAGGTACCCAACATTGAAATTGAATGCCCCAATAAAATACTGGACATAATTTCCTGATATCGCTGGGTAACGATAACAAATACTATGCAATGGTATGATTTTCTTACCATATTGGTAATCTTCATCATTTCAAAATTGTAAACATTTCTGATAACTAATATACATATTGTAATATATTAATTGAAAACATGGTCTAAATACTTACAAATATAGTGTCATCGAATGGTATTAGATATGTAGAATTTATTTGAAATCTGGTATGACTGTTCTCGTACAAACGAAATTCCATTTTTATTGGTTTATCACATGTTGTCACATATTTAATATTTATTGCAAATGGCCCCTAAATTTACAAAAAAAAAAAAAAAAGAAAAAAAAAAAAAGAGCTAATATTGGGTCGGGTGTGTCATTGGAGTTTGGGTCAATCGACCAACTATTTGACCGACAACTAAAATACCGACAGGAAAGTATACCGACAATAATTTATAGCGCTATGCAATTTACTTTTTTATTCTAAATGTATAATAATTCGGTAAAAAAAAAAAAATAAATAAAAATAAAACTTAAGTATATACTACAAAAAATCTAATTTTGACGAAAATTGTTATTATTACTGCCGTTTAAACATGTATAACCGAACTCAGCTCATTATCGTTTTTCAACAGAAAAGATTAATTGTTGCGTGATAGATTTTTAAAATAAAATTATAAATTGTACGGCATTATAAATAATAGTCGGTCAATTTTCCTGTCGGTATTTTAGTTGTCGGTCGATCGTCGATTTCTCGTGCCAATGGTAGTAGGTGGGATATTAAGAAGATATTTCTTTAATACACGATTTGAAAGGCCTTAATATTTATGATTTTCATCAAAATTTAATTTTAAAACCTTTATAAAAAAAAAAAATTACAAGACATAGTATTTTAGATTCTGAGCGGAGCGAGGAATGTATTGGTTTTACAATGATGTTTATTTCTTTTTTTCTTCCAGAAAGCTTATTCTAAGTATCAAGTATAGCACCATTTTTGAAAATAAATGTTCTCTAAGTGGTACTTTAGAGAGGTCATTTTGTGAAATTCTCATAAATATTCGAGATAATGAGGAAAACTTAGGTCTTTAGGTTAAAAAAGATTGAAAGATTAAAAATAAAATTGTCATTGGCAATTTTTATTTATTTTTAGTTATTATTAAGTTTTTATTATTTTAATCTTTTTTAACTAATCATTTTTGAGATGGAAACGCACACTTTATAATCATTTTACCATAGTATGATATATATATATATGTTGTTGTCAATAATTTAACTCTGCTCAGAATTTTTTTTTTATTAGAAATGGTTTATCATTGCTTACGAAGATTGCTTAAAATTTCCGTCTGTGCCTTACCTTACCAATTTCCAACCTACAAGAGTGGCTGCATCCACGTGCCAAGTATGTCCGTCTTTTTTTTTTAAATTAAAATGTTAAAATGTTTGTAATACCATAACTTTTTTTTTTTGACCACCAAGTATAAATTATAATGAACCGTGTGGTTAATTTTTAAGCGTTTTTGTTTACAATGATATTATCCATGTAATACTTACTAAATTAATACTGTGTAAACAATTCGCAAACATAAAATACCTATAAACAGCTCAATAAAGTAAATATACTGAATTGCTATAATGACAACAAAAAACATAATTGAAAATAAAGTAACTATTTTTGCCATAAAATTACTCGTTATATTTACGTTTTTCCCTTGTTTTACTGAAATATTAAAAAACTACCAAAAAAAGGAAAATTGTAAACACTTTAATATCGGCAAGTGATTTAAATTTTAAAACTTTTTACGGTACAAATAAATATGAGATATTGTAACAAGTATCTCGATTTAATATACTTGCATATATTAATTATTACATAATTACATAATAACTCGAAATATAAATGGTATTTTGAATTTTTTTTTTAAATTACTTAAACACTGTGAAAAACCTGACGAATGATTTAAAGGTATACTGTTGACATTTTACATCGATACCAGTACAATTAATATTCAAAATTTACTTACTGCTGGAAAATTTGAAAAAAATTTGGTATTGCTAAGCTGCGAATATACTCGCAATCTTAAATTCAATAGATCGTTAAAAAGTACAAATGTAAATAAAAAATGTTTCATGATTTTGTTGTTTTTTTCCTTCACAACGGCACCACAAAACGAAAAATCCGTGACAGAATGACAGTAAATAATGAACGAGACCAACGGCTATAATATATTTTGACTAAAATATAAAATAAATGTTAGTATTTAGTTTTATCAATATGTCCTTCACACTATTGTTTAGTATTAGTAATTTGTCGGTTTTTTTCAATCGATTGTATGCATAATATTATATAATATAATTGTGGACCGACTTTAATGTTTTACATAATAACATATTCTAATGAGGTAAAATAACGATTTAGAAAACGGTCAAACAGATTATATGGAATAATGTACAACTATAACAAGGGCGTATCCAGAGAGAAGCACTGGGAGAAATCGCCCCCCCCCCCCTTCGTTCGCTAAAAAATGAAAACAATTTTTTTGTTTATTTATTTATTTTATACACTGCATATTACATTATTGTGACATAATATATAAAAATATTTTATTCGTAATAATTTACACAGTTGTCTATACTAGAATTTTTTATAATTATATTATAGTTATATAATTATATTTCGGCGTAGGGAATAGTGGCGTCCTTCATCGCCCAGTACTCTTCATTGTGCGCTGCAATAGCCCAAGTGCCATGTACTAGTTAATGACAGGTTCAAAAACAGTATTACGGATGTTAAAACGATGCGAGGAGCGGACTGTAACTCTGACCACTATTTGGTTAAGGTAAACATTAAAACAAGACTGAAGGTAAGGGTGGCAACAAGAGTAACGATTATTGACAGATATGATATAACTAAGTTCACAGATGAAGTTTGTCAAAAACGTTTTAAAAGTGAGATACACAAACGCAGTAGGGAATTAGATATAGATAGTATAGGCTCAACAAATAATATGTGGAGGAGAGTACAGGACACAATAAAAGAAACATCAGCTGAAGTCCTGGGCAAACCAAAAAACACCAAAAAACCTTGGTTCAATGAGAGGTGAGAGAAAGCCCTAAATCAAAGGAAAAAATTTAGAAACTTGTACCTTAATGATCCTTCCCATGAAGAAAACAAAACGAAATATAATGAAAGCAGAAAAGAAGCAAGTCGAATCTTTAAGTATGAAAAAAGAGTCTATACGCAAAACATTTTTAAAGAAGCAGGAAAATATCACAATNAGGTTACAAAAAATATGAAAAGTTCCTAGTAAAGGAAGATGGAACATTAATTACTGCCCGATCAGACATTGTAGAGAGATGGAAAACGTATTTCGAACATCTTCTTAACTGCAACGACCCCATAGAAACCTTTACTTGGACAAGGATATAACTCAACCTAAACGAATGTACAACACCCTCAAAACAAGAAGTTGAACTACAAATAAGGTGACTGAAGAACTATAAATCACCTGGTGAGGACGGTATACAAGGTGAGATTATGAAAATGCTGGACGAAGTTTCATCAACACATATACATAGGTTACTAACCAATATTTGGGAGAAGGAAGAACTACCGGAAGGTTGGAATGTTGCAGTCGTATGCCCGATCCATAAAAAAGGTGACCCACAAATATGTAATAATTACAGAGGAATAGCCTTATTAAATTTGGTCTACAAGATATTGTCCTATTGCATTTTGGATAGGGTTAAACCCATTGCGGAAGAGATTCTGGGAGATTATCAAGGTGGTTTTAGACCCAACATGTCAACAACAGATCAAATCTTCAGTCTAAGACAGATCATAGAAAAATCATGGGAATTCAATAAAAGCATTTGTATACTATTTAAATTATATTAAATTAAATATTAAATTAAATTATATTTAAATTATTTAACTTTGCAATTTTTATTTCTTACTTTAACTTTAACTTTAACTATTAAACATTATTCATAACAGACACATTACAGTCTTATAATAGTCTTTCAATGTCTTCATTTTTGAGGAAAATTTACCCCACCACCCGGTGCTCACCTATACTTAAGTTGGTGCTATTTAATATGAAATATAGTATTCAAATATTCAAATATTTGAAATAAAAACTGCAAAGCGTTGTAAAACGCTTTAATAATATATAAACTAAGAAGAAACAATAATATAGATAGGCTTAGTATATAGATACTAGATGTAGAAATGGTATTTGACAATTTTGTTAAAGTATACAAATACTGTGAAATACTAGACGAAATTCAAGGAATAAAATTGGTAATTAAATAAAAATACTTAAGAAGTACATACTGTCGGTAATTTTGAAAACTAATTGAAACTCTTAAGTTTAAATTCAATGAAATGAAAAAAATTACAAGTAAAAATAAAATACGATTCATTTTATTATTTAATTTAAGATGTATTAATTATACACAAATTTTAATCATTCCTTACAAAAAACTAGCCTGAGTGGAGTTCGGTTATACATGTTTTGAAAGGTCGAAATATTTACGGTTTTAAAATAATAAATTTCGTAAACCGGGAAAGGTTTTTTGCATTTATTATCAAAACCCTGGAAAAATCAAAAAATAATCCCACTAATGCATCAACTAAACAAAATTACCTTTCAAAAATATATTGGAGCAAAATGTATGGTAGAAAAGTTGTTTACAAATATAAAAAGTAAAAATAAAAATACACGTTTCAAAGTAAAATCAATAGATTCCTTGCTACGCTCTAAATCGAAAAAAATTGATTATCTTTACTTTCTCCTGGGAAATCTCAATGTGTATATCTTCATGGGACACCCTGTATATTGTAGTAAACAATCAGAATTTGTCTAATAGTTTATCCGAAATAACTATTGAAGAAATTAAGTTGTCTTTTGATAGTTTTCTGTAGGTAGTAATTTTTATTAAGGGGCAGAAATAATATTATCATGCTATAATATGATAATATAATGTATCGGATGTACATTAAAAAAACAAAATAATAAAAAAATAGACATATTGAAAAAAAGATCGATGGGTAGGTGTAATTCCTTTTTGATAAATACCACCTCATCGTTACTGAGAATTTAACGACAAAATTGTTTTTTTTCAGGCATTGTTAGTATAACGGTTAATTAAAACAAAAATAACGAAAATAACTAATAATAATCGACTGTCTGAGTATAAATATACATACGTACCTATATCTCTATGCGATCGCAGCGTGCGTGCGAATATATTATTCCTTTGTCGCAGAGTTCGATTGTGCGAGACTAATATTTTCGCGACATAGATATTTTACTCCACCTATTTAAAGAATTTTTTTTTTTTATAAAGATTGCCGTTTAAAAATCAAAAGTACGTTCGCCACCAAAAATAAGGGTGACTAAAAATAAGTTTAGAGACACTTGTTTCTTTAACTGTCGAAAAGAAAATGTGGTTTTTAAATAAGTTGGTACTTTGCGAAATAATAATAATTGTTTTACGTTAAATGAACCAACCTGTATATATAAAACGATAACGGTCATTTAAACTTGATACCTATTTTTATAATATAGTTGAGGGCCTTATACATTGTTACCGGATTAAAACATTTACTTCCGGAAATGCCGCTGTTTAGATAAATAAATGACGTGTAACACCGTTGCACCACGGATACGCAGCCGAAACAATCGACCGGTATCGACGATCGAAAAAAAACGTTCACTGATTTTGTTTTTACCACTCCGATAACATTGTTGTTGTAAAATTTATTGCAATTAATATTGTTTCGCGTTATTATTCATTTTTTATTCAAACACCTATTGTATACGTTAAAACGATGGACGCATGGTACTGTATCGTTGCTTATATGCGAGGCATCGCGTGTTGGCTGTGCGATTGGATACGGTCATATACGGCCGTCGTTGTACAGCGGATGGCATTGAATATAAAATAAGTAAGTATACCAGAAAAAATGATTTACTATACACCAGTTTTTTAATATTTTAACGGTAAATAATTCGTGTGTTCAGATAAACGTATCTACATGAGTATTTTTTGGAAATTAATTCCTGCCCCCCCTTCAGTATAGAAGCTTCAACGCCGTAAATTTTATTGAAGAAAATATTACAAAATTGGACAAATAGTAAAATTATGTTTGTGATATTGAATCTCCGAACACTGTTTAGTATAGTAGTAAAAAAAAAAAGAAGATGATACCCTTGATACTTCAGAGGAAGATTTTTGGTAAAAAATATTGTAAACAGTATAAAAAAAAAAAACTCATACTGGAGGTGGGAGCAACCATTGATGCAGTAGAAAAGTTGGGAAGGTACGATACATAAAGTAATTTCATTTATATCTGTAATCAACGATAAACCGTTGGTTGACGAAAAACGATTCCGAGCGCAATTTGGTAATACATAATTTGAAGTGTTGTAATTTTTTTGCGATTTTCGTTTAAATTTGATTTCAAAACGCTAATAAAAAAAAATAAAAAAAATCGTCCGGTGATTTTGAAAATTTTATCGCGTCTAGGTAAGTCCAATATAAATATTATTACCAAGTTTCACAAATCTATGCGTGTATTTATAACCAAATTACAGCAAAAAAACTTCCAAAAATTAAAATTTCTTAGAAGCAGCTCACAAGTTTTGGCGATGATATCGTAAGAAATTAAATCAAAAACACAAAAAAAAATGTGTCTTGTGATTTTCGATTAAATAATTTTTTCTAGTAGAAAACATCGTTCATGTTTTTATAAATTAATGAAATCGTAAAATTGTAAGTTTTTCTACGTTTTTTCCCACTTAAGTACTTTTGTTTAAAAAATGTCGTTTAAAATCAACAAAATGACCCCTGTAATGTAATCTTTAGACAACTTGAGTTTTCAGAAAAGTTGCTATACGTTAATAAATCGGAGCAAGTTTACTAGGAAAAAACGTGTCCACAGACTAGAAGAAAAAAAATAAACATCTTAGTAAAACCAATAGCTCCCTCGCTTAGATCGGAATCTAAAAAAAATGCTTTAGTAATAAATAAAAAAAAATATTTAGATTTGTTTTGTACATAATTTTACTGGAATGGTAAAGCCGTATTATAATATTTTGACATTTTTAGTGTTTCAGAAATGTGTATAAGGGTTATAAGTTTTACATTATATCATAGAAGCATTTTCTATTGGTTTCAATACGAGTCTACGGATACCGAGGCTGATACCGAGCCTATGGTTACCGACACTACGGATACCGAGTTTCAAACCATCGCACTCGCGAACGTCGAGCTTGTGGCTATTGAGTCTACGGAGAATGAGTCTACAGATAACGAGACGGATACTGACTTGCTTTAGTAACTTTACTGACTAATGTTTTAGTGTCTGTAGCTGCTGCTGTTGCTTTGGCGTCTGTAGCTGCTGCTGATGTTGTAGATTTTGATATTCCTTCTGCAAGTCACCAACAGAGGCTGATCAGGCACCTTCGCCTTCTTCAGCACTCGTGCCAGTACTTCAAGCAGCTTGGTGGTCTCCTGGATCACCTTGTTGACGCCTTTACCGTTGCTTTGGTGACAATTTCGGTGATCCTGGCCACTTGGTATCCGGACTTCATACCGTTGGTCTCGTACCGGCGGGTTGGTAGCCAAGTTGGGAACGTCTCAAGCAGACAATTTTAAAACGGCATGTTAGGCTACTGGACGCGTTCCAAGTTGTAGATGGAGGAACGGCCCTAAGATATAAATGTTAGCTGCAGTATAAAGCCAGTATGGATCTGGTTGTATAAGCAGCCGTGAACAGCACACAAATCAGGGTAGGACGTGCTCTCCAGTCTTGACCGGTAATCATCCTAGGAGAAAGAAAACCACGAACAAAATCTCCTGGCAGTAGAGGTAAAATTTAATGGAGAGCTACCATTTCAAAAACTCCATATAACAGACAAAATCTGAATTATTGTTACCACAGCAGGGGTCGGATACCTAGATACCGGATTTTAATTTAAATTTCGTTTTTTTTGTTTATTAGTAACGCACGTTACGATAAGACAATTTTGCAGTCGAAACATAATACAATTGTTTTGAGTATAATAAAAATAAGTATATTTCATTTGAATAATTATTTATTTGCAGAAATTACGAACATTTTTGTAAAGTATTGGAATTTTTGGTGGGAGCGCTTAAACAAGATCACGAATCCAGCGTGTTCGAATTCGGCCTAAGTGCGATGAGTCAGTTCAATAAATGTTTGAAAACCGATCGCGTACATCAGTACTTTAATTATATGTTAGAACTCTCGAGTACTCCAAAACACGTATACGAGGTATGATTAAAAAAAATTTAAGTTATTATTAGATTATATGTTTTGATTTAAAAAATCTAAAAATTACGTAGAATTGTCGAGAACGATAAATATTTAAATTTAATATAAAAAGAGCAATTTATAGTTAGTAATTAATTTTTTTTGTTATTTCATTATTTTAAAACGTCTCTTAACATCTAGTTTTTTTTTTGGACGATAAATATTTTAGAACAAAATATAAATGATGAATATAATCTAATCACTCGAAAGACATTATTAACATTTTTGGTAGAATATTATTGCAAAAACCTCGGAAGACGATTTAACTTGGGTGGAAAAATGTAAAAAGAAATTAAAAAAATAATAAAATACCTGAGATAAAGAACCGGAACGAATCCAAAATGTCGATAATAATACCTATCGTTCAAGACGGAAAAAAACGCTACGAAACAAGATGACCAAAATGTTACGTTATCCCGAAACGTTAAACAAGAATTTACGAATATCTTAAAAGACCTAAATCAATTCAACGTTTAAACCATGGTTAATAATAATACTTACTCGCACGAATTTTAATGAGTACAATAAAAAAATGTCATTAAAGTACTCTCTATATATACTACTCACTATTTCTATATATCTGTTGAAAGTATCCCGTCAATAATTTATTTGTATATTATAAGATGCGACGAAATCAGTTATTCAAAGTGTAAACCACGAAACTCGAGGTGAGAATTAATTTAAAATATTTGAAAACCGCATTAATCTTATATACATTTTGTCTTTTAGGATTTTTGATGTCCGGATCTATAAGAAATAAACTTTGGAATTTTACAATTTGTGACTAGGATTTTGCTTACGATTTCATATTACTATTATTGTTTTCGTTCATATTATTATCACCTCATGTATTATGTTTTTTTTTTTTTTTAATATTAACTTGTAATAGGTACTTTATAATTGTATAAAAATCATTAAACAATTATTGTAAAACTTCAGTTCTTACATTAGTATTTGCTTTTTTTTTTTATTCATTGGTGGATTTGAATGTATCTATAATATGTTTAAATTTTTAGCGTAGATACCAAATAATTTTATCCTAGATAGGTACATTGTACCATTAGTGAATCGGTGTACTTAGGTATAATACATAAAAAACCTACTTGCGTAAAGCGAACGTAGATTTCACGTTCAATAGTTTATATTATATTTGCACCAATACATTTTAAATGAGAAATGCATCTAACTGGTGATTTGTTGAATTCGCATTACATGATGTCACTATTGTGAGATACAAAGCAAATTAAAACAAAAATAATTCTTGAATATTATACCCATACATATATATGTAAAAATTCATACATTCTATTCCTGATATATATAATGGCTCCTATACACTTTATCATCTGGTCGGTCGGATAGGATAATTTGGTCAGGTCAAATTATAGATCTTGTTTGGGCCTGATCGTTTCTGTAGTTTGACTAAAATCCTATCGGGTTGTCTGCAGCCTGGCCGTGTCGTCTGACTGCCCGACCAATTGACTAAATCGGGCCCTGTGTTAGGTGAGTTTTGCTTATCAATCGGTTTGTGGACATTGATGCGAAAAGGCATTTGTACGTTTATGTTTTATCCACAATTTGTCTTGGAGATTCTGTAAAATTATTTAAAATTCAACTGGCTTAGCCGTGCGATGATCATGTCGTTTATACATAACATAATATAAACAGGAGGGAACCAAATACAATAGCTTTGGCATTTTTTATTAAAGCAAGATTTCTGGTAGTAAACAAAAAGCATACAAATTTAAAATAATGAAATCGGTGATTCCATGCCATTCTGTACACATTTATCTTTTTTCCCGGTTTTTCCCAATTATTACGGAAATCCCCCAGAAAAATTAAAAATTACCTCTCTAAAATATTTACTAAGACACAGGTCAGTAAAATAGTCTCGTTATTTTTCGATCGGAGCAAGATTTCTTACAGAATAAATAAACACACATCATAGTAAAACCAACGCTAAGAATCTAATAATTTAATTTATTTCAATAAGTATAATAATTTATGATAACAACATCTTTAAAAAAAGTCGAAACATTTTTTATTATTTCAAATAATTTGGAAATCGACCTCTTCTAAAACTTGTTTTGACATCATCAGAAAAGCTTTGCATAATTGTAAAAGATAAGAAAAAAAATACATGTGTTAATAATAATACATATAATATTAATATTCCAACTTATATTATAAGAAGTAAAAATAAATATCTGAATTAATTAATATGGAAAAAAAATAATTTCAAGCTTTTAATAATTCATAAATGGCTTTGTTACAACCGAGTATTTCTTTTGCACGTGTATAATAGAAGTCAACTTTGTATGTTCCATAAATAAATGTTTGGGGAACATGCACTTTTTTTATAATTGCTCTAATATCTATTTCTGAGCCCACATAATAGCCCTGCAAAATAAAGCAACAGTTCTTAGCCATCGGACTTCAATTTTGAGTGTACGACGTATTTTGATAGTGTTTATAGTGTACAATGCTCAAATTTTAGAGGAAGGGTTGAGATTTATTAAGAATGGACGCTTTATAATTGATTTTAGTTTAGAAAAATCGTAGGTTCTGTAATACAGATAAATGTTAATGTTAGATACCTATATAAATTCTTACTTATAACCAAAGACTGTTTGGTTTATTACAACAAGGAGTAAGCTTAAACCTTTGAACAAATTTACCCCCTCTCAAATTTAAGCATTATAACTAAACAGAAAATTATTATAACATACTTGTATATTGCATATTTAATTTAAATTAAATTAATCACTGTTTAACATTATTATTGATTATCATACCTTTTTTAAGGGGCATTCGGCACAATTTATACCGCTGGCATTCATAAGCATAGGAAACGCTTCTCCTGTAAGAGTCTTAAACACTGAACACATTTTGGGCGATTTTTGATTTATCACGTTTTCCTTCCATTCTTTTGAATTATGATTTTTATAAGCTAAAGTAAATTCAAACTGAAAAACCACGTGAAAATAATTCATATAGGTAATGCATTTTTTTTTAAACTAAGCATTTAACAAATATATATGACACAGTACGTTCACGATAAGAGGTAACCACTAAACATTTCAGTTGGATGACATAGTATTGAAATGCAATTTTTGGGGAATGATAGTAAGTACTGAAATACATATTTTCAGACAAAATTTAAACATTTTCAACTCTTTCAGTACGTGCATGTGTAATAAAACTTATAGATTCCGGTAGAGTATTTTTTTTAAAACAATTTTTGTATAAAAAGTTTTTTTCTAATTAAAATTTGACAATATTACAGTATGTTGAAATTAAATGTTTCCAAATAATCTATCTTTAAATAGACTATGTTCAACTTATACTCGAAAATCGAAACGATATTTCCGATATTTTGAAATACCTAATAGTAAATAGATAAGTCGTAAATAAACTCTTCATTTCTTTTTATGGGGGCATTTAAAAATTATTGTATATGTGGTTTATAATATCCATGATTTAAAAAACAAAATACGTGTAGCATATAATAATTTGATAGAAGGCCAAATAAACGCTGTCATATAAAGAAAATGTTTAAACTGATTGGAATATCAAGGAGGAAACTTTTAATAATTTATTTGATAAAACTATAGTTCCAAATAAATAAATCTTAATTTCAAATTCGTAGTGTATAAATTTTTATAATTTTCAACCTTCAATTATTTAGTTCATTTATTCGGAAGTAAGAATGACAAAAATAAAAGTAAATTAAGAAAACAATTTAAGTGTTCCTAACGTAGCTGTTTCAAATCTCTGCGATAAGCATACCAAGAGAAGCGCAGAATAAATATTATTAAGCTCTGACCAAAATAATGTACATCATAAAACTCAGGGACCTTTTTTCAGTTATAATTAATTTTTTCTCTGGTAATAAACCAATAAAAACCGTTACAAAAACGGACTGTTCAATTGATTAAATTTATTGTTGAGACGTCAGATATAAATAATAGAATAAATTATATTTTTAAGGAGACTTGGATAAAAAAAAAGGTCTGGGGCTGCTTGAGAAACGTATTCATAAATTATGTAGATTAATTGATTGATTACATACAAATAATAAATGCTTACCCATACTGTGTCGTCTATATTGATAGATGTCGAAATGTTTCCTTTAAATCGGGTAAAACTGTTTTCACACGTATTAAACATGCATCGTATTGGTTTGCTATTGCAATATTCTAATTTTAAAATGTTTACTTTATACGGTCCCTATTAATAAAAAAAAAAAAAAAAAAAATAAATGATACTTTAGGTGCGTTGACTGAATAACCAAATCAGTTTCTGGTCGTTCTGCCAAAACGGCTACCGAATAGAATTGCCGACAGCCATACACGTTATCAATTTATAGATTATTCCGCAGATGCTCGACTGTTTAGATAATGCACATTATATTATAAGTAATTATAACATAGTCTTTTGTAAATAATAATTTTATGTTGATCAATTGTATAAATAAACGCTATCTGCAAAATAATTATTGACTATTGTTCTTGTAGGTTCCTGTATGGTTTGATTCACTCCCATCATAAACTATTAATATACATTATACACTTATCTTTATCACAAGAGAAAAACATATTTTTTATACCTGAAAGAAGAGCGGCGTGGTAGATCATAATACAGGCTATAGGGCAAAGGGATAGGGCAGACGCGGTAAATGGATGTCTAGTGAATACAAATTATAAACAAATATCATAAAAGGTTATTTTGGAATGTACATTAATAAAAACGAACAAAACATGTAATATGGTAACGTTGAAAATTGTAACTGGGGGAAAATTCGACTTGAGTGAGTTTTTTTTTTCTATTGTACTTTCTACAAAGCACAAAGGATTTTGAATTAGGTAACCAAAAATTACAAACAATATACATGTTGATAAAATTGTGAAAATTATTAATTTCCAACTCCGATAATTACTATAGGGTTTAGAAATGTAATGTTCTAAACTTAATCATTTTTGCTATGTAGAACTCTTAAAAAAAAAAAAAAAAAAACGAATGACTTAAAAGAACAAGCTAACGATAGAGTATTAGTAACAAAAAATAAAAAAAATATTAAAAATCAGAGGTCACCCAAAAATAAATTGATTGTATTTTCTAAGACGATCAAGATTAATCACTGAGAAATACAGCTCATTTAACGGCTTTGACTTCCCGCTAGTAATTAAGCACAATGCGGTATTGTATATTTTATGCTCCTAATTTTAAAATTGAGAATTTTTAATTAATTTTTGAAACTTAAATACTAATAATCCGTATAATACATTTTTCTTTTGATAAGATAATTTATTCTGAAAACGATATTCGGGTTAAACACATTAATTATGTTCGGAACAAATACTATTCAAAAAATATACCAGTCGGGAAAAACGACATTCGGGAAATTTGATTCGGGAAAAAGGTCAGGAACTTGATAAATACAGTTTATACGTATCTGTGTTAAGATTTGCCATACACGGCAATTTTTATAATTAAACAAAATATTAATAATAATATGATACATACTGCCGGTAGGTTTGAAAACAAATTAAAATAACTTAGTCCCGCGTCCGAATACAGTTTTGCATTCCATAAACCGAAAACAAATACATATATTACAAATGGAAAAATATGCTTCATGGTTTGTATTGTTGTTTTTACTTAAGAATGACACTAAAAAATATCCTCCAATGGTCTATAGTAATAAAAATATTATTGAACAACGTTGTACTAATCATACGTGCAGTATCAATGCTAAAATAATATTATAATTTTACCGAATTATAAAATATATAAATAATACAAATTTTAAATTATCCGTATTTCTATAGAACATTATTTTATCAGCATATTGTTTTGGTATTACCATTGTTTACTGTACGTGTAATAGTATTTATTCGAGTTTTGTTATTGTTATCAATTGCAGATTTGTTTGCATATTGTTATCGTACAATTATTATGTTTTACAATTAACATAATTTATATATAATATCATCGGTTACACAACAAGACCTCGTAAATCGACAAATTTTAGATTTTTTTTTTTTCGTCTTGAATATATTATAGTGTATTTTTTTAACACATTTAAATATAACGAATAAGGAATAATTTGAGGTGCTTCATTAATAATACACACAAATTAAAACTCGTATCAATTATTATCAATAACAGCGTAAGTCATCTGTTAATATTGTAATAAGTGACCATGACATGCATTTTATTGGTTTTTATTACTCTAAAGAACACAGTATAAAGAATATAATATTTATAATATTATCCAGGGCTTGATTTAAAGAAATAGAGGTCTTTTGTACCATACTTACTTTTTCCTATTTAAATTAAAAAGGAAATTGGTAAAAATTAAAAAGAAAAAAAAATATATTTAAGAGAGAGATTATATAAAAACCTTAAATTACATCTAATTTACATCTGTAAATCTCAAAATTCGATTTTAAAACTTTTAAAAAACACTTTAGTAGAAATATAAAAAGTCTGAATTACTTCGGAGAGTGTTTTAATTAAATATAAGTAGATAAAAAATGATTTAAAAAAAAAAAAAAGCTGTCCTAGGATAATAGGGACGGGTGCAGCCACTGTTATAGGTGAGAAGTTGGGAAGATAATCGAGAAAAAATTGAATATATTACTGTAAGCAATGAGAAAACATTAATATCGAATAAACGATTCTGAACAATTTGGTAATGATAGTGTTGTTTTGTCAACAAAATGTATGTCATATAATGGTAAAAATTGCTATAGTAAAAAATAAAATTAAGCATCATTGTAAAACCAGTACATTCCTCGCTCCGCAGAGAATCTAAAAAAATGTTTATTATCTTAGCGAAACGGTTTAAGTTATCCTATATGAGTGTTATTTAGTATGCGATGGGTATCGAGGTGAGCCACACATTTTTGTATTTTATAAGGTAAAATGTATAGTTTAGGTAAAACTCCATAACCATAACTTCATGGACGTCATTTGTGGGATTCACACTATATGTTGGCAGCCCTATTTTAAATTCCGAATAGAGCAAAGTGACGTAGTAGGTACAATTACCAGTACCATCATATAAAATATTAGTGTTGCCACATAACCACGCCATGAAATTATTCCACTATTATTTACACGCATTATCCACACACTGGTGTTCCACCGTAGCCACTGTGTTGTGATCATAAGGGAGCCGCCCGCCAGGGTGGGGACCGCGGAAGGCACAGATACGCGAGACGCGTAAATCTTTTCCATTGTATCTGCACTTCTCTAGGTTTGCCCAGCGGAAGCACTCATTTTTCACTCATCCCTTTCTCATACCTACGCAATCCTTTCAAATTCCATCTCCCGAAAATAGTGGTTGCAGAACCGATGGCGGATCACTATATCTGATAATCCATAACTCCTATAT